AGTCGAGGGCAGCCCCATTCTCACTCTCATTTAGTCTTTCAGAGATGGATGCCTCACCTCGTACTTCTTTTCCTATGAGCTCTTCATCTTGTCTCCCTTTTCTCTTGTCTCTCAACAATGAACAGAGACTTCAAATGTGTTTTCAGGCTCCATTAGGAAGCATATTACTACACTGACATCCTTGTAACCTCCCTTATGTGGCAAGATTCCTCAGAGCTGCGAGGGCCTGAAATTTGGGGATTCAGTGAGGGAATCTGCCTGGGTTAGAAACACAAGAACCCATGAAGGAGAAGTGAGAAGCTTCAGCCTTTGCTCTTCCCAAGGAAAATGAAAATGTGGTTAGTTTAAAAGCAAAAGAAGCAAAGGCTTAAGTAGTGATAAAAAGCAAAAAAGTTAGATGGAAAAAGAATAGTCATATCTACTAAACATAAATCTATAAAAGCAGCCCAGTTTTATGGCACACACTGGAATACATTAAGTTATAAGCTGGAAATCTATCCAGGGAAAGCATAAATACATATGTAATAGGAGTAACCATTGAAGAAGTAATAGTTTTATTCATCTTTCATTTACTGTATGTCATTCAACTAGAAATCAATGAAATTCATGAACAAGAAGGCAACCACTTCTTAACCCTTTCATTTTTTCTTTAAGCTCTAGTGATCACCTACTTCATGGCTTTTCCTTTGTAATAAAATGTTTACTAATTGTATTCCTTCAATATTATTTTTTATATATCTCTACTTGATACCTCTCCAGCCTTCTAAAACTGATTTTCTCATAAAACGTTTAAAAATGTAAAGATAATGAAATTTAGTTCCTTAAAATAGCCAACGGGCCAAGTTAGAAATATATACATTGGGAAGACTCACTAAAATGCTACTCTTGGGTTCTTTCTAATTTCAGTTTTATAGATGTGACAACCTTATAAGGAAGTTCTTTTTCTACTTAAAAAGTCAAATCACTCTGGATGGAGTCCAAGATTTCAAATGAATTCCAATTCAAAGTAAACAGTGTTTTTATCAGTGATATAGCATGAATTCGTAGCTCACTCCCAAGAAATATACAAAATTCTCATGAGTGAAACATTCCCCCAAATTAATAACAATTTACTATATAATACGTTGGCTATGTAAGTGAAGTTGTAGTATCTCTTTCCAGAAGCCTTAAAGAACAAGAAAAATTCCCATGATGAGATTTTAATATTATGTTAACAACCAAACTGCTATGGTTTGAATGTTTGTGTCCTCTCCAAAATTCATGTTGGAGCCGGCTCTGTGGCACAATGGGTAGTGCACTGGACTTCTAGCAGAGCCTGGTGTGGTTATTCAAAGTTCATGTTCGAACTTAATCCCCAATGCAACAGTATCAAGAGCTGGGGCCTTTAGGAGGTGATTAGGCCATGTGGGCTGTCTCATGGATGGGATTAGTGCCTTATCAAAGGGCTGGAAGGAACTATCTAGGCCCTCGTGCCCTCTTTTGCCCTTCCATCCCTCTGCCACGTGAGGACACCATGTTCCTCCCCTCACAGCAACAAGGTGCCATCTTGGAAGCAGGGACCAGGCCCTCGCCAGACACCAAACCTGCCCTTACCTTGATAGTGGACTTCCCAGCCTCCAGAAATAAATTTCTGTGAGAAATAAATTTCTGTTGTTTATAAATTACCAAGTATTTTGTTATGGCAGTAAAAATGTACTAAAACACAAAACTCATATTTGAAGGACATCTAGGAGAAAAGACAGAGGGAAGGGATTATTAGTATGTGAGAGTTATCTTGGTCCAATGATTGTATTGAAAAGGTACTGAGGACTGAGTCACGGAGACATTCATCATCATATCATCCCAAAAAACACGGTGGCTACTGAAGGAGATCAATTTTGTGTACAACAGTGAAAAAGGATGAAATAGAGAGGAAAATGACTGTCACAGTTGGATGCAGACATACAGCAAAAGTGTGGGGAAATGCAAAAGATGTGCTCAGCAAGTCCCTACTCTGGACACACGTATGATAGTAGACCATGAATTAAAGAAAAACACAGGTATGGGAGCTCCGAGACCATCTTAATTTCTCCTTGCTAGATTCTAAGGAAAAAGACCTAAGACCTCTGGAAAAATGGGGGCACTGTAATTATAATTCATATTCATTATATTGTAGAGCTATTCATCTTTGAAGATTTTTCTCCCTCTTCTCTGTCATTTTTAATATCAGATCAATGTAATACTGAACTGCAGAAAAGACAAACTAAAGAATTTAGTTTGTAGTCTCAGCTCAATTGTCTCTAAAGCCAATGCCTGTTTCTACCACTCCCTGCTGCCAACCCACCATTTTGCTAAGGCCACATTTCTCATTCTTTCCAGCTCCTCTTTTACTTGTTTGAAATTACACTGGAATTAATATTTTTATAAACGTGAATCCACATATTTGACCAGTATTGTTTGATTCTCACTCCCTCCTCCCACATAGTGAGGAATACTTGTCTAAATCATGTATAAAAAAATTTTTTCAGTAGGCATGCATAATTTAATAGGTGAACCCTACCATATCCTATTAATTCAGTGAGTATGTCTTAGCAGCGTGGTTATTACTAATTCGACCAATTGTACCCGAGGTAAATTGACTATAATGAACTTACGGGGCAGAGGCATTTATTGAGAGATTTTGAGGAGCTCTGAAAATCAACAGCAAGACTGGAGAACCAAGTAGGAGCTAAGTGTTCCAGATCTAAGATACAAGAACTAAAGGAAGATTCTTATAGATGAAGACATCTCTTATCAGCGCCATTGGCGTAAAAAGTCTCCCAGAGAGCCCAGTCTCTGTCTCTCAACTAATAATCCAAATGCCAAGGGGGTCATCTATCCAGCTCTTGGGGAAAAGATACCTGATTAATAGGCCCACCAAACGCAATGGGGGAGAGAAAGGCGTTATTGGAAGTCTGGAAAAGTCCACCACTCTTGTTTAAGTTCCTAGTGCTCAAGCTGAAATACCAGCAGCTAGTACATGAGCTGTAATAATAGAAGGTCGATTCTGTTCTAAAAGCTTTGTCGTAGAATAATTTGAACAGCATTTGCTCAGCCACATTTGACAATCAGGTTCTGTCACTAAACCAAACAAACACAGAAACAAACCTCAGAAAACACTGAGTGGGCTTAAATCAGAAGTTAACAAAGAAACAAACAAAAATAACAACAAAACCCTTGTTCCTCCAGTGGTCATCCTTACCTGGCAAACAAACAAAAAGTGGTAGCTCACATATATACTGTTTAGTTTCATGCACTGTGACTTAGATCTTTTGCATGTATTATCTCATTTAATTCTCACAAAAGCCAGGATGTGGGTATTATTACCACCCTCAGGGAGATTATGTAACCTGGCTAACGTCTCGCTACTATCAGGCAATCTGCACAGAGAGCTTGTATACTTGCACTAGGCTGCCTGGACTCAATGGGACTCAGCCACATGGATTGAAGTTTACAGGAGGCAGGACAGGGTAGTGGTTAGAACCACCAGCATCAGTTTAAAATATCAGCTCTGTCATTTACTAGCTGTGTGACTCCCGGCAAGAATTTTAATCTCCCTCAATTCCCTCATCTGTGAATTGAGAGAGTCATATCAGGGTGAGCACGTGCTGTTGTAGGAAGAAAGGAGAAAGGTTTCTAAAGTACCTAGCCTCAAGTGCTGGTCACATATTAAGTACTAAATAATCAATGGTCATTATCGGTTACATGTCTGTCTCCCCTCATAGACTTGCCCTGGAAGCCCGGGTAACATTCTTGATATCTGTCCCTCGCACTTTTCTCAGTGATTGGCACATTGACAAGCGCACATAGATATCTGCTGAACAGAAAGTGTCTGCATTAGGGTTCACGCTGCCACCTTATACTCTAGGTGCTAATCTCATCCCCACCCTTAAGCAAATGATGCCTCATCTTCCTCCATCCACTCCTCCTTCTCCCCCAACCCCACCTTCAGACTGTTAACTTTGTAAGGTCAGGGTCTGTATCTCTTTTGTTCTCCATGCATCCCCAATGTCTATTACAGAGCCCAGTACATAGTAGAGGCTTAACGAATACCTCTGGACTAAATTTTTAATAGACATTTGTAATGTCTTAAAGTTTACCTAGCACTTTCACATAAACATATGCAACATCTCTGCAGAGCATGTTAAAAACCCAGGCTCTAGAGCCAGACTGCCTGTGTTCAAACTCCACCTCTACTATTTACTAGCTGAGTGACCCTGGGGAATCTAAGTAAGCTTTCAACGCCTCTGTTCTCCCACCTGTAAACAACAGTACCTGGTTGTCACAATTGTTAATTCATATAAACCTGGTAAAACAGCGCCTGGCACATAATAAGTGTTATTTAAATGCCAGCAATTATTAATCTTGTTTGTGGCTATTTTTCTTCCAACACACTGTCAAGAATAAATTATTCTCTCCTTTCATGTAAGAAAATATAAAAAGTGGCATTTTTACTTCAAAATCCTAAAATTAATTTGCAGCAGAGAGCAAATTGTAATCTCAAGAAACTGACTTCCAAAGCTATTTGCAAAAAGAAATGTATTTATAGGGACTGTTCTTAAAATAAAAATCCGAAATGGCCCTTGATATTCTGTAGTGCAAGTCTCTTCCAAATCGCTTGTGTTGGAACCTTCCCCAGCAACATTTGGCATGATTCTCTCCACAAACAAGAACAGCCATATTGACTTGAGTAGAAGTGTTCGTGTGAGTGAAAACACACACGCACAAACACCAGACAATGGAATTAGGTCTCACACGTGGGCCATCCCCTGCCTCCCCCACAAACTTCATTGCCCTATTAAGGGAAAAAGCGTGTCAATCCCAGTATGCATTGCCCCATTTCTTAGAGCAGGAACCTGATGACCAAGCCACACATTATTTAAAAAGCCAAATCCCCATATTTAACCAGGGATGCTTGTCTACACGTTGGGGAGACAAGGAAGAGAAGAATACAGGCAAAGAGCAGCTGGCGTTTTTTCTACCTTCAATACTGTAATGTTCCAAGCAAAGCTCTCAGTCGCCTTGTTGAGTTTTCTTCCTTTCAAGCCTTCTTTCGCCCCCAGATTATGAAGCTCTTCATGGAACTCCATCCCTTTAAAAAAAGAATGCATAAAAAATCTTCATATAAATTTAAGAAAAAAAAGGTTTTATTATGAAAATATTATCAGTAAAATATAATTTCACATTCCTGTCCTCTCATAATTCCTAAATCCCTAAAGTGAATTCTCCCGTCATTCCGCTCATACCACCAAACAGCTGTCCTTAGGGGCAAACTAACAATAATGAATGCATTAGGCTAAATTACATTTTAAACAGCCAGAAGCTGTAGATAAAGACATGAGAATTAAAGAAGTAAATTCTTCCAAAAGGTTATATCCACTTGTTTGTCCTTGTCCTGATTTTTGTATGAACTGGTGTGAAGTGAGGGGTGCACATGTCTTACTCTTCTTTGTGAACCACCCCTGTGGCTTAACAGGAGGCCCTGGGGCCCACATAGTCACAATCAGTAATTAGTAATATTGACTTAAAAAAAAAAAGGCTTTTTAAAAAATAGCATTCCTGGAAAAACTCAAGTGCTTCAGATTTGGGAATGACCTTAAAGCCTTAGGCCAACCATTCGCCCAAGCTTGAATACTATAAAAACCATCAACTGTTTCTTCAGCCTTTGTCTTAGCACCTCAGGGATGAAAATCACATTCTCTTATGAACAGCTCATTCCATCTTTGGAAAGCTCCACTGATACCGAGCCAAAATCTCCTTCCCTGGAGCTTCTAGCCCTTTGTACTAGCTGGACACACACCAACAAGGTCTAATCTATTTTCCACAGTGGGCTTTTAGATATTTAAAGAAAGATATTGGGTAAAACCTCCTTGAGTCTCCTCATCTCCAGATTTAACATTCTAACAGGTTTCGGCTTACTAATGACTCTACTTTAAGGACAGCACCCAGGCAGGGCCACTGCATTGCCCAGCTTCCTGGAGCTGAGCAGTGTGGGAATGTGCATGTAAGTGTGAACACCGTACTCAAAGTGGGCTTGAAGCAGCCCACACAAGGTGGGAATTTACCACCCTTCTCCTGGTTCTAGTTATTGGACGGTTATTGAGGCAGCCTAAAACGGCATTAACTTTCCTGGTACTAACTTCACAAACATAGTACATGGGAACAAGCAGGACTGGCGAGCCCAGGCTTGCATCCTGGCTCCACCACTCACTGGCCATGTGAGCCCGAGCAAGTCCCTAAAACTCTCCGGGCTTTAGTTTCCTCACTGGTGAAATGGTGGTAACAAGAGGGTTTCCTCATGGGAGTTAAGTGAAGATTAAATGCGTCAATACATATAAAGCTCTCAGAGCAGTGCCTGGCATCCTTAAGTACCTGGTATTATTATTTCTGTGCTTCCTGTTGGCTGAAATATCTAAGCCTGCCGGTCAGTAAGTGAAGAGCACCAATTTAAAAGTCTGCTCTGGGTTTAAAGCTCAGCTCTACCACGGGTTGATATAGGCCCTCAGGTAATTCACTCAGTCTCTCAGAATCTCAGGTGCCTCATCCAAAAACTGGATATAATGATGATTACTTTGCTGAGTTGTCATGGGGACTAAGTAGGACAGTGGATGGGCTTAGTGTATCATATGCGTATGTATCAAGGAATTGTCATTGTTGTCACCTCCCTCATCATAACCATCACCGTGTGTGTGGATAGAGGAGCATGTGCATCCACGAGACAAAAGCACAGGAGGAGATGAAGGCGAATACACAGAAACAGAAGTGTGCTCACAGATACGTGACTCATCCCACCCTTAAAGAAAGAATGTATCTAACCTAAGATGAGGACTAGTACACGAGGCAAAAGCCTAGAAGATTAGTAGGATTATGGTTCATGTTGTAAAAATGAAGTGGGTTTTAAGGGGCCATGTGGAACCATAGCTTCCCTACCAGCAGTAAAAGCTTTTGATAGTGTCCCAAACCACGAAAGTAGATTCAGAAACCCTCAGCCCTCTAGACATCTTTCGACACCACTCGCAACCCCATATACACATATAAAATCCACCTATTATCACTTAGATTTCTTCCGTACTAAATAAAGACTTAAGTATAACTTCAGTTAAACAATGCTATAAAATATTTTAATTTTAAGAGAAAGAACAGAAAGCTTTTAAAAAATCTGCCAAGAATTATCATGGTTTCTAAAAAAAAATAGAAAAAAAAGCCCACAAAAGAACAGAAAACAATTACCTGCTTTCTGACACTGTACAATTTTTTCCTGGACTGCGTCTGCCATTTCTATGAGAAACCGGCTCTCTTGAATCATCTGTCACAAAATAAACATCAAAAAAAGGTGGTTGTGAGAAACCCTTAAACTGGCTCATTGGGACTATGACATATAGACAGACCCACACGACACTCCCAGTAACAGGGAGCTATGTCTCAACCACAAGACGTGGGAGAGGGAAGGACAATCTCTGTTCCAACCCCCCTCCATTCCAGCACTGAGGCCAGAGTCACCTTCTTCATGATTGCTCCAGTTACATGTTTGGCACACAGTGGGTGCCAAATAAATAGCTGTTGAATAAATGCAATTCTTTAAGTCCCAGGTCATATTCATAAACACCTCTGATTCTACCCCCTTACCCCAAAGACAAGTGCACCATCAAGGCGAATGGTATAGCAATACAGTACAACAGCAATGAGAACCAGAAGAGGGTTCTTTATCCCTCCAGGGGCTGCCAAATGTCACCTTTCAAAATATTTTCTGTTCCATTTCATCCTCTGTGCCTCTGCCTTACCCTGACCTCACCGAAAAATGAAGTAGTTTCTATCTTCTCCAAATGCTCACAAAATTCCCTCTGCAGCGCTCAGAGGAGGGTTCAAAGTTCCACTCAGCCACTGGCAGGTTCTGGTCCTTCCCATCTCACTCCTTTCTAAATACTACTTCCAGAATCATCTTCCAAAACCACGGCACTAGTTAATGCCTGCCTTCGCCATTTCCCCCCTTGCTTACTAAAGGGGATTATTGCTCTAACCTAGAGTTCACGTCTCCCCATGCTCCTGCCCATCTGCCTCAACAGCCATTGCCTCCATCGTGTTCCAGTCCTCCTGGGTCCCCATTGACTTGGATGAATTATATGTCCCTAAATGCACCCTACATGTCCCTCCTTCCACACATTTCCTTCCATTAGGGAAGGCTTCTTAAGCTACCTCCCCCAGTCAAAATCCTACCAGGCCTCGAAGCTCACTTCAATGCCTTCTCCTCTATTGGTTTCCTGATTTCCCCTTCTCTCTCCCTTTCACTTCCCAAATTCCCAGAACATTCTAACTTTTTATTCTGTTCATTGCATTTCTTATTTTCTGTCTTAAATTGTAGTTTATGATTTACCTATATTATCTTCCACCTTCTCACTTCCCCAGTAAATTGTAACTCCAGTAGAGCAGGGACTCAGTCTTATTCACCTTTGTACTGCAGAATCATCCATCCATTTATATATAATCACCTTTTTCCTATTTTACTTCTGTGAGCCTTATTTCTTCTCCAACATATGTATGCACAATAAAAAATTTTTTTATTACTGATCACTTCTCAAACTTGCAACTGTCTTTTTGAATTCTAATCTCTTTTTGTCTCTAAGTTTCTCGACTCCATCTTTTTTCTAGGCATCTCCATTTCTCTACAATTTTACATGCTCTGAATTCCCTTTTAAATTAAGTACTGAAAAATAAGCACAAAGCTTATAACAGGATTACTCCTGTAAAAATATAATATTCAAACATCAGAAAATAAGTGTTAAAATTTTATTACATACTTACTTGAGGCAAAATAAATTCAGGGTCAAAACATACTACAAACCTTATAATTCAAGCTCTCTTCAAAAGCCCCCAAGTAAATATTTGCTTACCCCATAGTATAAGAAGTTTCTGTTTTTCCCATTGACTAATAGATCACTTCATAAAGACATAATCTAGTGTGATTTAACTGCAAAACAAAGGAACTTCTCTGTGAGATTCCTCAATGGATAACCTGAAATCCTTTAGTAATAAAAGTTCCAAATTGTATCCTAAAATATCTCATCAATAATATTCTCAGAAACTAAAATCATTGTTCATGTGAAATTTTCTCAGAACAGCATCTGATCTTCTCTATGAAAACAGCTTCCATTGTATTTAGAAGAATACTTTTATTCTATTTTCTGCAGTCAATTTTCAATTATTAGTAGTTATAGGGAGAACAAATAGATGGCTAATATGTATAAATAATTCCAAACCACAGTTAAAGCCAACAATTTCAAACCCTCAACTAAGCAATTCATCTAAGTTGTTAGGGAGACAAAATGGTCGATTTGAGTTTCATCTCCTTCCTGGGCCCCTCCTGATACTGACGGAAATGAAATATAAAGTGCAAAGCCATGGAAAGGAGGTGAGATGTCCTCAGATAATCCCCAGCTGCGTTGTCAGTACACTCAGCCAGCACAGGCTGGGTTGACTCAATCGATAGAATCTGGCAGTGGCCTCATTTACATATCTGATGTCTCAGCCTGAGCGCCTAGTTGCCTTTGCCTGTTGTAGTAATACAAAGAGCTTTTCTTTGGTTCTGTCACATGAATATCTCCTAATGGATCTTATTTCCTTGCCAGGGCTTTGTATCTAAAAGAATAGAGGACTTACCCAGATAAAGGCTGGCATTACTTTACGCATTAGATGTGTCCTAAGCAAGGATGTGTACAGTTGTGAGTTAAGATTAAATTATTTATTTAAAAAGAAAACTTAACTGAAGGGGACAGTAATGCTTTTACTCAGAGATGGGTTAAATTGTCTAACCTGTGTGGAACAAAAACTGTTCTTCCAGCTCTTCCCAATAAGGAGTTTAACTAATTGCTCAGAATCATTGCAGAGTCAATGTAACTATTTAATAGTACTGAAAAGATAGACTTTCATCCTATCAGGACTCAAAAACCTTCCATAGAGCCCAATTTTCTCCTGAATTATATCTATTCCTAGAACCACAGAACTTCCTATTTAGAATCACAGTTTATCACGGACAACCCCATTTTATTGATTAAGAAAACTGAGCAAAAGTTGACTTGCCTAAAGTCATACAGTTAGTAAAATAATTTACATTAGAACACAGGCATTCTTGAGGAACAGACAAATAAGATTGTAAGTTGTTCTGTGATACTGATATTATACTTAAGTATAGAATTTCCGTTGCAAGGGCAAGTTGGTGATAAGCATTTAATAAAGTAGCACTCATCAAGTAAATAATCACGAAAATAAATTTTTGCCATGACTGTTTTTCCCTCCAAGTTTAATTTGCAACACACAGCCATTATTATAAGTATCCTTCCTAGGAAACCTAGAAAGAAATGTGCTTACATGGGTCCACTGGTTTTTCAGGAAGGCATTAGGAATTTTGGATAAAGCCTTTGCTTAAGAATACGTGAGTCAATAAAATGCCTATCTACTCTAGACCTATTTTTGTTCTCTCCCCTTAAGAACACTACAGTAATTCATCCATCTCTTACCTTCCTGATAATCAAAACACAAGGTTTGGGTCTTTGGTTCTGCAGTGGCTCATCTTTTCAGATTGTTTAAAATAAGACAGGAATTTTATGAAACCTGGTACATTTGTAAATCAGATTGCTTTCACATACATATTTGCTAACTAGAATGAAGATAATGTCCTTTAATCCTCAAGTTCCTTAAATATTTTAAATGAAACAGATGAAAGCATCATTAATAGATTGGTATCTTTTGTTTTTAAGCAATCAATCCTGTCAACATGGTTAACTCTTGGTGAAACAGGGACAAATATAAAGTCAGAACATTTGCAGGCTTGCCGGGAGGCCACTGCCTGTGACGTAAGCAATGAAGTGTCCTCTGTCCTGGAACTAGTGCTGCGTCACATTTCCAGGCCTGATGGATCCACACAGAGCAGGCCGGAGGACATTTGTCTCCATGTTCATGCTGGTGACAGGATCTACTTCGGTGAGCTGCTTTCTGCACAAAGGGATCATTTTACCTTTTCTTTTCTCCAGTTGTTCTGCTTCCCAAACAGGTGTCAGCTATACCTTCAGTAATCATTAAAAATATTTGTTTTTATGCAGCTATCATAACGATTTAGTTCTTTCATAAAATTGCCAGGTGACTAGCCTTTGTAAACTTTGTAAACTTTGTAAACTTTCTCCAGAATTTTCAGGCCAATTTGACTACGTTACTGTCTTTAACAAAAAGCGTTACAAAAACTTGAGGATTCAGGAGTGTACAATCAACTTCGAAGATGCCTGTACAAAATTCCACAAAGGAGCCAGCCTGAAATACTTGCCTATTGATGTGCCTCTGATCATGATTCCACTTGATATCAGGGTGTCCTTAAGACTCTGGTACCAAGTGGAAATTTTTTCGCCCCTCAAGATGCTGACAATTCCCCCCTTACACAGAAAATGTGTCCAAAGACATTGCTATACCCACAAGTGAAGGAAGTTTCCAAGCACCAAGTATGTAACATCTTGTTTTTAAATAACCAGCTCTGGTTGGCCACATGCCAGTAGGTGGTTCTTTTTTTGGGTTCCATGACTATACAAGCCAACATACTCTTTGAGATGCCAACTAATATAAAGCTCTACACAAACTTCACAATGAGAGACACTTACGGAGAACATCTTTGATTTATCTAGTTTCAATTTAAATTGAGTTCAGTAAGCAAAACTAAATTGAGGAACTATTGATATACCTACTTTTTCCCATCTTGAGGCTGAATATATACTGATAACACTTACATAAGAGAATGTATTTAATTCAACCCATTACACGTGGCTTAACTGTGATACCTGCCAGTGTACTGGTTCCATTGCAAGCACGATTAGACAGCAACTCTTTTTTGTTAGATGCATGCTCACGTTAGCACAATCAACTGCTCTCTAAATCACACCCTAACTGACTTAGTAAAAGATTAAATAACCCTTGACTCATGTTCTCCAGATTGTTTTGATTTCTTTTTTTATCTTCAGAAAACTTGTTGCCCTTACCATAGTAAAGTTTTAAGTTTTATGTTAATGTTAGATAATTCAGAACAGAAGTCACCTTTGGGGAATGCTTTAGGTTTATTTATTTATTTTTACGGTTGCAATCTCCTGTAACTATTCCATCTCTGAATGATATATTTAAAACACTAACTACCCAAAAGTTTTCACATTAATTTAAAACACTTAAAAGGATTTTAAAAGGATTAAAACTGAACTATCTAAAGGAAGACTTTAAAAGGAGTAAAAATTCAACTATCTAAAGAAAAAATTATATAAAGTTCAGATAATATTTTTC